GAGTAGTTGGAGCCCTAGGGATCACATTGCAGGTTAACCATTCTGATGTTTCGAGTAGTTGGAGCCCTAGGGATCACATTGCAGGTTAACCATTCTTTTACGCACGTACGTGATGTTTCAACGACAGCACTTTGGACAAACCAAACGTTTACGCTATTAAACGAGCTGTCGTTGGGTCCCTCCGTCGCTCCGAGTCACCCGGCTGTCGCCGGCTCGCAGCGAAGAAATGAACATCGTCTTCCCCCATCATGTAAACACATCTCTCTTCCCAAACGCGGTGTGGGTGATACAGCTCTACAATGGGCTGTAGAAGACTGAGCTGGGAACGAAACGAACGGGCCAAACGTTAAACTTCCTATACTTTGCTGTGGGTTTAACGAACGTGGAATGTTGTGGACCCGAGAATATGAGTCCTCAGTCTTTCAGTGAAGTACCTGCCCCTTCCAGGTGAGGCGAGACATTAAAAAATAATACATTGTACAATAGACGGCCCTCACGGCTGCCCAAACAAACTGTATTCACGCATCGTCACGGTGACCGGCTTCAGCACCTTGATGTGATCGCATCCCAGCAAACATCCGTCTGTAATCACTGCCAATCATGGATCAAAGGATATATTATATCAAAGGTGTGTATCATCTGTGGGACCACCGGTGCGGAGTTAAGTAAGTGGACATCTGTGTCACTGCTAAGGGTCTATAGTTCTGCCACCTGCTAAAAAACGACGGGTTTCCAACAGTTGAATACCAAGCCACGTGGTAGTTCTTCCCCGTGTCGCCGGTGTCTGCCGATGAACCCAGCACGGCTTTACCTAAGAGCTGCGACCGAGGCCAGGCCAGGCCAGGCCACTGATGCCATTCATGTCGCCTTCATGTAGCTTCTTGATTGAAAACACTCACACACACACACACACGTACGTATTCATACATATGACATATGTTATACATATATAGATAATTCATCAAGAGTCTACATGACTGGACTCCCGGCCAGCATTCTTCGGGAACTCTGGAGTTGACCAGTGGAGCCAAAATCCAACCCCCCTTCAGAATTCCGCGGTGTACTCAAATTGGGTATGCATTCTTATAGGGGAACCCCAACGAAGGGGGTTGAGCTGGGAGGTCTGTATAATTTGATGGTTTTGCATAGTAGCGCCCACTTCGGTGGGATATAATATACTGAAGCACCATGCATGTTCGATTGAGGCCTGGCAATGGCACCACTCAGGGCGGGACCTTGGTTGACCCCAAAGGAAGCAAAGAGTCTTACCAAACATTGTCAAGCGAACCCATTGGTTTCTTGGATTTGCTTAAATTAAGGAACCTGGAAAGACACAGTACAGTATATAATTATTCCTATAAGGGGATTTGATCATAAGGAAAATAAGAACACAGCACACCTTATAAGGGGTGCGAATTCGGGGGTCGCCGGCCAGAGTCTCGACTTGGCCCGTCTCCAACCCAAATCATCCATGGGATTGGAATAGTTACGTTGACTCTTGATTCCTGATTCATAAGAAATGGGTGTCCAATTCAAGCGGGGGGATTCACTAATCAGGAGTCTACAGTTACATTCATGCATTTACCCCATCCTTGTCATGACCCATCCATGAGGCGGCATACGGAACCAACCATCGTCCCAATCTCGTCTGGTCAACAGGCAACGGGCAACGACTGAAAGGCTCGGCTGACTTCCGAGGCGCTCAAGTCCTCGAGATCTTCTCGGTCCTCACCTTCCTCCTTCACCTGGCGGTTGTTGGGGTCTGGGGGGGCAATCGCGAAACATGCCAAATGATCCACCTGGACAGCACACTGCACACCACACAATCAAAACACACACACACAGATATATATATATATAACGGGGATTGATGGACGGTCGAAAAGCAGAATATATGTACGTTCTGTACATGTTCTTCCTCAAAGTGAGGGGGGTGGACTGCCAGCCGGCTTAGTAGTTTGCCACAAGAATGGTGGGCGAACTGAAGATCTCGTACATGAAACCGATCAACAATCCAAACATGCAGTTGCCTTTCAATGCATTCAGCGTTGCCTTGCAGCCTAAGAGGTGCCCATGCTCGTTGACCCCCACACATGTCTCCTCCTCTGACTTCACAGTCCTCCCAACGTTCATGGCATCCTCCACTTGTCTCCAGTCACCGGACTCTTATCCATGCCACAAACCTCTGGTAGAAAAAGCCCACATCCATCTTACCGTCGCTTCCTGAAGCGTCTACCCGCATCTGAGCCACACATCCATACCCAAACACTCCATGTGCGGCATGTTTACCATTATGTATCTACATTGGGGATCAATAGGGTGGTTCTATTGGTGTTGTTTAGTTTTACAGTATGTGTTTTTACTTGGTCAAGGTGACATCTCTTCCAGTCCCATGGAGTGTCTGAGCTGCTAGACCGCCGCCCGCACGGACCAACTTACCAAATCCACCATTACTGGGTCTTCAGTCAGCCCCCTGGCAGCTCCCAGAACTGGTCATGTCACGTCAGGGGGGAAGATGATCCATCGCTACTCAGATCGCCCCCGAGAGAGGCCTCTTCGCCCTGAGGGGCTGATTCGCCCGGCTTCAGGCAAAAGACGGTCAAGGTGATCATGCCTCGCAGGCCCGAGGTGGTTGGTAGTTAGAGTGATCCCAAGTTGAAGAAACACACAAATTGGGAACATGTCGCGAACAAAGATCTGGGCGCTCGGGTGCAAGACTTCAGAAGTCTATGAATGAGTCTTTGAGCCCCCATCTGTCCAAATGTTGCTGCTCGGCTCGTGGTGGAGACCCTCTTGCCTTTTGCGGAGGTCTCGCCATCTTTGCGCAAAGGGAGGGACTTCTTCATGTAGACATGGCCTGGCAGAAAGGGCTTCGAAGCAGCGCACGGAAGAAGCCCAAAGGCGGGCAAACTGGATTATATATGACATGGAATCATATGACATGGGGACATGTTTTATTTGTATTTCTTTTGGGCTGCGCTTCAAGCAGTCCACCGAAGGTGTCCGCACCCCCGAACGCAGGAAGGATTGTCCGAAACAAAGGCCCCAAAGGAGCCAAAGGTTGCAGGTGGTGACTTGGCAGTTCCGGCCCTCCCACGCGCCAACCAGGCGCGCAAACGCTGATGTGGTGGCCTTTCCGGCGCGCGTTTGCGCCGGAGACGGCACGTTCGAACGGGCATGGTGTTAGATTTGTTCCAAGACCCCCAGGCCGGGACCCGATTCTCCAGGTCCGGACCGGACTCCCCAGGCCGGGACCCGATGCTTTCAACCCACGTCCAAGACCAACCCGCCGATGCTCGGCCTTGCCGCGCATTGATGCTTTTCAGCTGCAGAAAGGCTTTGCCGATGAGGTCATTTCGAGTGAACCAGTTCCTGCAGTTGATTCACTGTGGACAAGAGTGGCTTACGTATGCTCACGCCCTTTCTCAAAGTAAGCTTTAAGAAGCCTCGAATGTTGAACCAGTCTCTGACATGTCCCTCTAGAATCCTCTAGACCAGGCCTTTGTCCTGCCACCTTTTCAAGCTTTTCTTCATGACTCCGAGTTCGATGAAAACACCCAAAGACCAAACATGAATCGATGTTGGAGGGCAGTTCACATTTTAAAGCATGTTCCATTCAATTCACCTCACCTCAAGTCCATTTCCACCACCTCTTGGCAAGGCATTTTTTGGGGTTCCATTCCATTTTCAGGGGTTTCATTGCAGTGCACTCTATCAGCACGGCCATCAAAATCCTCAGTTGACTTCTTCAAAACCATCGTGCCATATCGTGCCCACGGCCCCCACGGCCCCCACGGCCCCTCGCATTCGTCTGCATCGTAGTGGCCGTGCATAGATGGAAAACTCGATGTAGGCCGACTCAAACCTGTTTGGCGATGAGTTCCAACCGCCGTCGACTAACAGTAACATCCGTCCCATGGCCAAACAAGTCGATGAACACGACCAGGTCGCACCGTAAACCAACACGACCAAACGAAGAAGCTCCATATATATGGAGGTACCATGTAAAATCCCCGAAACTCCATCCTGACATCATGCAAAACACATTACAGATAATTGATATTTAGTGCGGGGAGCGAAAAGCCTCTATATACGTATAGCGGCACCTTTTGCTGCGATGATTGACAAATGATGTTCTTGCAATCCAAAGCAGAGGCTCTGTGATGGTTGAAGATGAGGAAGCAAGGTATCCAGTTTTTTGCAGTGTCACGCTTGTTGTGGATTCCATATTCTTCTCTGATAGCTTCTCATCATATGAGAGTCATATTACTTATCCACTGGACTGGAGTGGATAGTTGCTATTTATAGCAACTTCAGCCGGTTCTGCACTGGTGTGACTGGACCCAGCCGAGCCGAGGACTGCTGCTGTGCCGCGTTCGATGTCCACATTCGCCATTCGTGGCCGAGAGGCTCTTCGGGCGAGAGTTCCACGTCAGGCCAAATATTATCCTGAGGCCAAAAAACGGCAGGCCATGGGCATCCATGTGCCCCGCTCACAGCCGGGTGTTCCACGTGAGGCGCGTGCGATGTGGGGAGGGTGTTCCATGGGAGGGGGTTTTCTTCAAGGATGGGCTGGAGATGGTTTGAGCATGCAAATGGATGTCAAACACCCACACAAATGACAGGTTACCCCTTACTTGAGGAAACACGGGTTAATTACTGATCCTGAGCCAAATGCCAATTTTAGCCAAAGACTAAAGACCAATAACCAACGTGCCACGCTTCCGGCCGGCCACACAACACATCTGGGTGGGAGGTATACATCTTCAGGCCAGGTTTCCTCTTCGATTGTTTCAACCAACATGCCTTCCACCTGGTCACCACCTTCCAGTGCGTTTGTGGTCGAGCTCGGTTCGGAGACCTGGCCTCATTCCAGGAGACGAACATGGCTTTGGCCTCCTTGGTGTCGGTCTGGTAGCGCTTCCCACAGCATTCCACCACCACGAAAGGATCGCAGGGCAGCCCATCGGACGTGGTCAAGTTCCTCGCCTCGATTCGTGCGCCGAATCGCTCGGCAGGGCGTAGCTACGAAGTGCACAGGTTGCGACTGACAGAAAAAAACACAATGGATGATGGGTAGATGACACGCTTGGGCGCACATGCATCTGGGGATGAACATTGAGGGTTCTAGGGTTCCGTGCATAAAGCTCGGAGATTGACTGACATGCCAATGCCTACAGCATCCCACAGCCAAGCGCATGGGAAGTTTTCTTAAAAAATAAGGTGATGGAACTGGTCAACAGACTTGGAGGTGGTCTCAATGGAACATCTTCAAACGTTGCTTTTGGCGTTGGGAAGTCCAAGCCTTTTCCATCTTGCTCAAAGTGATGGAAAGCCGGCTTCCTACCGTTGAAGCTCTGCTCCAGATTGACAGTGGACCATGGGTAGTTACCGGGTAGTTGTTCTGTTCTTGGGTGGTGTAGGAACATGTGACCACATTTCACGGCAATCACAAAGCTTCTTTCTGAACAGGTGGAATCCTTGAAAAGACATGTTTGAAGCATCCGTCCCTTGTCATGACTGCACTCCCTTTACGACAATGTGAGCACATGATTCAGTAACCCCACAGACTAAGTTGGCCCAACTTTGCTTGTGCAATCCAAACTGCTTTTCGACAAAAACACCTTGCAATTTTGAAAGTTGTGGTGCAAGAATGGCCCCAACTATAAATGTTGTCAAATCTATCTGCCCAATCTCTTCTTTCAATACCAACCGCCTTTCTTCCACGAAGAGGTTGAGTCTTGTCCCTTTCTTCATCTGTATACACTCCGACGAGCACATCACATGGAAGTGGATGATGCCCCCTGTTTGTAAAGGAAAGTCGTCGTCGAAAAGGCAATTTTCCACCTCCATGTGAGTGAGTCAGAGTGTAAGTTAAACGTCTTCATGGAGGCCAAGGATCATCGGCGATCTCAAAGCCGACCACATACTTCTGCATCGTAGCGACATCACCGTCTCTTCCCCATGGATGACTTGAACCAAAGATCACTGGGCGCAGGCGCATGGGTCATGTCAGGGAGACCCATGTCCGGAAGAAGGCCTGGCCGTTCCGATGATTGGAGGGGTGTTCATTTTAAAGGGTAATATCAATATGGTATATGCGGTTTGCATCACGAAATGCCAAGAATTGGTTGAAAGAACTCACATCTGACCAAAAGCTATAGTAGTTGATCTATCAACTCAATCATGTTAGCTTTACCCAACTTCACACACACACACACACGCGGCTTCCGATTGATCCTTCAGGAAGCCAATGTTGAAACCTCTGGACCAGGGCATGGCTTGCTGGAAAAGGTGGGCCACGCAGCGAAAAGGATCACCTACAGTACAACAATACGCAGTTCAAGGATCTATATACGTAGATCACATACAGTACAACCAACAGCATATCATTACTGTGTGGATACATGGGACTGACAGAAACGACCACCACATGGCAGCGTTCAGTGCTTTGAGGATACGATAAAATTGATCTATATAACTATATATTGTTTTAGAAACACACAAAGGATAATGTATATTACTATATATCACTTTGATATCACTTTGTAAACCTTGAGTATGGCTTCCTGCGACGATTCGGAAGTCCTCTTTCGGGGGCCAAAAATTGAACGTGCGCCATCCAGGTCTGGCTGAAAACCCTCCATCGGTCCATGCACCCCATCGTAGAGTTGTGACACTCCGTGTTTGTGTCCTCTACATCCAGGTAGACTGAGCATCTGGAAGCCCAATTAGTAAGGGCTTTAATGGACTAAGAGTTGGGCCCCAATGATTCTCCAAGCTTGTGAGGCAGGGCTTAGCATTGACGGAGCCTTGGTTTGTAACTCAGGGTTTGGTGAATGGAGTGTCCGTGATTATATAACTAATCTGCGTCCTGTTGACGATGTCCTGTTGACCAACACCAAAGGAGAGTGCCGCGTTCATTTGAGGCTCCAGCAGTGGAAAGTCTCCCTAAGCCTATCAACTCTTCCTTCAGGCTCCTTCATGGTCAACGTCTGGCTCGTCAGGAAACATCCATTATGTATAATATGTGCCATATGTGTATATTACTATAGGCTATACTCAAGTGCAACCTTGCTTCCCTCTCTTCGAGTTGTGAAGCTAAGCGGTAAAGCGGAAGAGCAGGGATTCGTTGCATTCTACCGTCTCTTCCTTCAAAGCTTGACGTTGTGTCTTGACATGCCCTATCGCTGTGTCATGGGCACAAAGAGGCATGTCAAGAAACCGGGCTACACTTTTCTACCACTGGACCCCGCCTTCCAATGACACGCCTCTTCGCCCCGGCCCCTAGAACAACCACGCCCAAAGGAAGAACAACACACAACCACTACTACCACCACCGACCTTGTCCAATAACCTGTCAAATGCAACCTGGGTTAAATAACTACTACTACTACTACTACTACTGTTCCATAACTACTACCACGAGCTGGTGAAATGCAACCTGTCAAAAGCAGGCCGGTTCTGTTCTTCACCTCGGCGTTCTTCATGGCACGGGCCACGTTGATGCGGAGCTGGCATCGGCCGCCTGGCGATCCATTCACCGGACACAACCGTGGTGTCGAGGTTCTTCCTGCAGGCTCTCCATTGTCTGACGAAAATTCAAGCACTGATTGGTTTCAACTCGTGGGACCTATCATCTCAAGCAAAGGTTGAACATAGAAAGATCTGAAACCACCACACGGAACAGATCATGGTCAAGAAAAATAAACTCTGAACATGTCAAGAGCTGGGTTCGGACCAATCTGCACCGTTCCTGAAAAAGCATCTCCTTGATGCCTTGGACCCACTCCCCGCTCTAAGTGAATACCACTCAAACGCTGCCACTTCCAGTCCAGGCCCAGGCTGACAAATGACTTGGTTATTCCCTAGCGGCACCTCCCAAGCCGCATGCCGCGGAGCTGATCAACTGCCCAAAGTGCTAGTACCAAACTACCAATCAACAAGAATCCAACAGCTTTGCGACGGTGGTGTGCATTACGTGATGGACTGGCTTGAGCTCGAAATAAATTCCCTGCCAAGATCTGCACAGGACTTCCAACATTTCAAGGAACAACACCACCACTCAACCACTGTCAAACCGAACCCAGGCATCACTTGCGCCAAGGCAACGGCGCGACCGTTCGCCTCGTCGGGGCCGGCTCAGCAGCAAGGCCCGACGCCGCTGTTGGTCGCCTCCCATGGGGCGGGCTCCTGGAAGGACGCAAAGCCTAGGGCTCCTGGTTGACCTCTTGAGAACATGGTTGGGTGGGTGCCAGGGAGGGGTGCTCATACCACCGAACCTCAATATCCGGACCGTTCGGAGCGTACTTCGACCCCGGTCTAAAGTCAAGACGGCCAGGACCTGAACGGGTCCGAAGATTCACTCTGACTTGGCTGTGCTTGGCACAGAAAGACGCCCCACCTACGATTCCGCAGAGAAATCACCAAGAACTTCCATCTAGATTGGAGCTTCACCTTTTTTCTTGAACCTGAAGTGGGTGGATTTTAGGGAACGCCTTTACGGCCATAAGCACATACAGGCCTATGGCATGAACCCTCGACTCAAAACTCCTCCACAAACAAGGTGTTTTCGACTCAAAACAGAAAACATGGATCCGCCAGGCTCGGTACTTCATGATGGTACTTGCATGGTCTTTCACGGTCCTTCTCCAACCCAATCAACCCCAGTCCCACCATGCCACCCATGCTTTCAAGGGATGTGGATTGAAACAAATCTGTGCCAGTCGGATTCCTGGCCCACCATACCCAGATACTGCATGGCATATTTACCTGACCCCTCTTCAACCACCCCAATGTATGTAAATATGCCGGTCCCATGGAGTGTCTGGGTCTTTGGCCCCCCCAAACGACGGCAGTGACGGAGGGCGAAGAGGTGATCGTGCGCCAAACCCGGTGCGGGCCCATGCCGGCGCTTCCTTTACAAAGGCGCTTCCTTTGGACGACTTTAAGGCAAGGCTGAAGTGGCAAGTTCAGCAATGTCAGAATGGTGAACTTGAAAAAACATTAGGGAAAAAACTTGATCTGTTAATGGTGAAATCTTCTTGGTAAGCTTCCAATCTAGTTCCACGAGCCTTCAGACTTCACAAACGTTGACTACGGATTGTCTGCATATGGCCCAACATTTGTTGTCATGGGAACACACAATAACACACATACATAGACCCTTTTTGGTGTGCCCATTCTAGACCCTAAGTAGTTGATCCATCCGGTGGCGCCGAGCTACACAGCCACACAGCCCGGCAGACGGCAGCCGGTCAAAGCCGAGTTACCGAGCCAAAGGTCTGCAGTGCGTGAATCCGGTGACGACTTGGAATTGTTCAAGGCCTTTTCGGAAGATCCCATGGCCTTTCATGGAATCCTATTGAACTATTGTGAGAAATTCTTAGAAGTTTTCTGAGAAATCCAATGGTCTTTGGAAGGAATTCTCAAGGATTCTGAACTGTTCAAGGGAACACCCATTGGACAAAGATCTTTTCGGAGAGGAACAGTCCAGGCTTTGTAGGCTTGACTCACCGGTTCCTGTGGTTCACAAGGTCACCTCAGTCTGTAGGCAAGATCAGCAACCTGCGTGCAGTGTTGCCGTTATTGGTTGAAACACTGTTGGTCACACGGCAAGGAGTCCTCAAAGCCGTTGTTGGCACCTGGGAGAAGTTGTGCTCTTAATGACCAACCCGCGATGAAAGGCCTACAACCAAAGCCAGTCCTCAGCACTTGAGGGCACCAAAGCCTTTCTAATTCGCTTGCGATGGATCGAGACAATGCTGAGCCCATGTAGCACGCTGTCGCTATGGAAGTCCTTGGAGTTGAGATGAATTGAGGGAGCTGCACCAGAAATGCACTTGGTCAAAGTTGCATGGGGTGCGCTACACGCAACAAACGCAATCCCCTGCAAACCCTTGTGCCCTCGGATTTTGCTCGCCCTCTCTTCGAAGTCTGAGCCCTCATCGATCTTGAGCTCTTTCCTCGAACGTCTCCTCTCTGCTAAGCTGGCGGCCAACCTGAGAGGCGTTTGCTCAGGAGCAGCATTGGTTCACCCGGCGGGGTGTTCACAGCACGGTGGGGTGCGAAGCTGCCTGGCCGGGGAACTCTATGGAACTGGTGGGGGGGGGGCAAAGCCCAATGCCTTGTGTGCAAATAGTGAGAAAACCCCATGCACCAACCTGAAAAAATGATTCGTAGATATTCGTAGTTTTGAGATGTCTTTAGGATTTTTTCGGTGGATCCTCTGCCGGAGCCCGGAGTTCCGCGCGAAACGAGCCATGGGAGTTTCCACGTCGTTTTTCTCGTTTTCCTCGAATGAACCAGGTGATGGACCTCGATGGGGCAAACCTGGGCGGGAAAATCACACCACTTCTTCAACGGGGCTCTCAGGTCCACAGGTAGAGAGGTACACAGTCTCGGTTTGCACTTCCGCTCACGCTACACACACACACACACACCTCCCTCTCTCTCTCTCTCTCTCTCTCTCTGTGGCTGTTTTTCACTCCTCCCGACCAGTCCGGGCTTCGGAACGGCTTGGGTGGGTCCAACATGAAGCTCAACGACGAGGCCGCCCGGCGCTGCGCCAAGGGCGAGGACGCCATGCCAGCGAGGGCGCCGACCGCGCCCCTGGGATGGCGCGGTTCCGGGGGTTCGGGTGCCCAAGGCATGGGTCAGCTACAACAAAATGGTCCATAGTTGTAATACATGATGTAAACCACCAGGTGTTTGATGGTTTTATGATGTTTTATGGGGTGCACCTCCTATTCGAAAGCCCAGAGTATGTAATTTGTCTTGAGGGTCGTGCAGTCTGAATTGATCATGTTCTGGCGACTTGGAAGGTTGCTGTTCTAGTTAATTTGCACTTAGCTTTAAGGTACAATTTCAACCTCACTCGACACAAACTCCTAATGACTATCTATGAAACACTTGATTTTGGTACCTGGATCCTCTGGCATCTCAGCATCCCATCTGGCCATGTCGCCTCTGTTGCTTCGTGTCGGGCGCCGGCTTCGTGTCATCGTCGCTCGCGCGGGATTGGTGGTGGTCCAGCGCAAAGGATGGCGGCGCACCCGCGTTCCGGGCGGGGTTGCGGAAGTTGGCCATGGAGGAAGCCGTCTTGGTGTTGGTGCTGAAGCTCAAGTTGCTCTCACTTGTCCTGGGAAGGAGGTAAGGTGGCAAGGAATGGTGCATTGACACAACGAATTGACCCTAAAGCCTCGTGGAGAAAAGAATGCAACATGGTGTAACCATGTGCACGGAAAATGGTTGAAACCCGTTCATTGCTGGCCCCACATGACTCAAATGATTCCCATTTCAAGATCCCCCTGTGTTTTGTTGGCCGCAATTGGCCTATCTTTCCAAAACGCGGGTCGGTCGGAAAAAATGAACTGGGAGCCATCGGGAGCCCACCAATTCAGCATGCAGCCAACCACTTCGGGCCTTGCAAAGGAGGACGCGGCGGCATTCGAATCCTCAAACTCGCTGAGCTCTGGTGGCCGAAGGCCCAGCAAACGATCCACGTCAGTGGGCTCGCTGTGCTCCAGATCCTCGGTCCGCGAGAGCGACGCGAGGTGCTGTTTTTCCACTGTTCAGAGTGCAGCGATTTCCATTAAACAAAACACGTCACACAAGCCAGACGTGCCATGTATGGAATATATGCCTGCATTGGGGTGGTTTGGGGGGTCAATGTAGGCATATATCGCATACATGGAGTGTATGGGCAATGTTTCGGAGGGTGGTTCGGTGAACTGCTTCCCGCCATTTAGGTTTTGACCAGGCCTGGCTTTGGAGAGCGGGTGGCATGTGGAGACATTGACATTGGGGTTCGGACGCTTGAACAGCGGTGCTTATTTGGATAGCAACGACCAGCCCCAGGCCAAGAAAAGGCTCTTCCAGATTCTGCTTCAAACAAAGGTACCGAGGATACCTGGTTGAGCTGCATAAGGTCTCGGTATGCCGGTTCCACTTTGCCTCAAATCCCAGTTGAACTGGTCGGGTACAGGGTCAGCCCCCTTTGTTCGGCTTGAACCTCAGGCCTGGCCACGCCACGAGGTGGTTTCTGTCTGGGAAGAATAAGAGAGCCCGGAGAGGAACCCCAAACAAATAGGGAATTCGGTAATAAAGCCTCAACCACTCCTCCCAACCTCCAGCTGGACATAGATAAGTCTAAAGTCCACTATCTCCACTGTCTCATGCACCTTACCCAACTTAGCAATAGACAGCAATAGCATGCAATGGCTCACAAAAGGGGATGTTTCTACACCCCTAACTAAGAATTGTAAAGTCTCATTTTTGGGGGGGCCATAGGGCTGGCCAGGGCGGGCCATAGCCACATGTTCAGCTTTTTTCATATGCTCAGCTTCATGAAGTTCCTGCAGCACCTTCGAAGGCGCAGCACCTTCGTGACCGCGCACTGCGGTGCTGTACAAACCACGCATCCAGACCTGACCGTCTTAGCGCCACGTGGGTCCCAAGGACCGATGCGCCACGAAAACAGATCGATGATGAGGGATCAAGCTCCTTCAGTCCAAGTCGGGGGGGGCCCTGGTTCACCACAGAAAATGAACAAAACACGGCTGAAAGGAGCTCCGGGTGCCATGACCCACGGCCGTATGAAGACGCTAAACATGAAGCACCCTGGTGCCAGCTCAGTTCCGATTGTTTGGCGGCCTGGATCGGCATCGGTTCTGGGCTGTTGTTGCTGAGGGTTTGCCGACTTCCTGGCTCCCAAAATCATCAACATGTAAACATGTGCAACTTGTGGTGATCTACTACATTCTACCTATAGGAACAAGAAGCTACGAACGGGGCTCCTGGCATCGCTACGAACGGAGCGCAAACAACCCACGGTGTGAAACGAACAGCGCTGCCTGGTCTTGTTCCATCCAAGTCCGACAGTCCTTCTGCCCGGGCCCTGCCTTCCAATACTTCAACTTGGTGTTCTGCTGAAGTCGCCCCCCGGTCTCCTCAGCATGGAAGGAAACTCATGTGTGAACTGAGAACAGATCCCAAAGAAAAATCTATGGGATTGGAAACGTTGGTAACTCGCTCCACTCCCACTCATGTTGGACACTCTCTTCCAGCAAAATCCAGGGGTTCCCCTCATTACCTTCTGCCGCTAGGGATTTCTAGGATCCATTTTGGGGCGCTTGCTTCACTTGAGGCGGCGAGGAACAAGAACAAAGCAAACCAGTACCTAAAAAATCCTAAATAATTAACAGTCTAAAACATTCTAAATACAACTCAATGGATCTCTTTTCTCTTTTGCTTGTAAAAAGAAAAAACACTTTTTGGACTCCCATCGTCCGCCTCCCTCACCGTTTCGCATGGTCGAGACCGCCGGGGAGCGTCGTTCCGCGCCAAGTCCGCCAGATCCACCGTGGCCGAGCGCCCGGCTCGGTGGCGTCGCGTGGACACGTCGTCGGACCCGCGGGAGGCCTGCGAGGTGGGGCGTGGAGTCACGGCGGAGTGGAGCTGGGCGGAAAGGAATTGAACGAAGAAGACTCTTCTGCCAAACGTCCCTAGGAACATAGCTGATCAGCCAACCTCACTGAGTCGTTGCGCGAAGACCGTGCTTTGGGAGAGAGGTGTTGCCGTTGCCGTTTCCCCTTGTGGGTTCGGGGTCTGAAGACTCGTCTGGGACCGGACCCTTTTGGCGGTCACATGGTGAGACTTCACCTGGTTCTTCCCTTCACCAAGCTTGATCCCCTGAAGTCACTGTAAGGCCAGTAAACGGTCACAAAGAGGGACTCCAGACATGTAACTTGGAAGAAGCCAGTTAGTATATGTGTTTTTATACATAGGATATACATGTGCAGTATAAGTTTAGATACATGCCTAGAACCCATTTGACCTCTGCTTGATAGGCAAAGACCATACTTTGGGCGGTTGGTGGTCCAAAATAGAGGTCAATCAGACTCTAGGTATTATATAATATATATATATACAATATTATACAATACTGAGCAGTATCAGTATGCGAAAATCTGATCCAAAGGCTGCTGCAAATGATAGAGGCCCCAAAACTGCACATTCATTTGGGGTGGTCCTGTTGGGGCATGGTCATAAGAGAACTTTGGTGAGATAATGACCTCATTCATGTTCGTACCCCTTGTACGTACCCCCCGGTATGGCGGAATTTCCGCTCATGAAACATCATGCCCAGACGCTCATGGACGCTCGGGCCGGACCCTCCAGCTCCTTCCACCGGCCTGGCGGTTCCAAGTGGCCGCCACAGCGCCACAGTAGTCCACTTTGGAGATCTGCCGATGCTGGTTGGCGGGGAAGAGGGACGCACACACCTGGCGGTTCAAACCGGAGCACCTTGGTGGATCCCGGATCAAATGAAGCAATTCCACATGGTTGGTGTTTTCCACCCACTTGACACATATGAGTCAGAGGGTCCTTCTTCATCTCCAAAGTCAGGGTTGAAAAGAAACATATCCGAAACCATCACCCGATGTCCAGGGATGTCAACCTTCCACGACTTGCTGGGTGAGGTGACTTGCTGCCACCGGAACCGCCGACTCCGTGTCGTTTCTTCCGCTCCGTGACGTGAGGAGAAGCGGCGGCTTTCAGAGGAGCTGGCTGGGATCCGATGGAAGATTTGGACGACTGGTGGCTGGTGACTGGCACTTTTGGGGTTCGGCCCGGTGGCGTGAAGATGGTTTGCGCTGTTGCTGGAAAGATTTTGGGGGATGAATTGTTTGCATCTCACCTGCGGATGGACGGAGATAGAGGTGCCAAAACCCGATCCGCAGTTGGCCAGACCCCATTGAGAGACAGCTCAACCACGGTGCTGCAGCCACTGCTCACTCACGTGGGCTTGTCGGAGCGAATCTGCTCCAGTTCGGAGCCAGCAGCAGGTCTTGTCTGCAAACCCCGTGCGCGTCCGCACGCGTCCCGGTCCCACAGGCCCCCGGGGCCGCCCGGTGGTGGCCGATACCGCCTGGACCATGTGGCCATGCGACACCAACAAGCAGCTCCGGTTCGTGTGCCGCGCACGACGCCTCGGAGGGGACGTCCGGTTCGGGGAACACTGAAAATGCCTGCATGCCAAACATCTTCTTCTACAAATTAGATCTAGAATGATCTAGATAGACATGATAAACTAAGGCTCCTGGCAGTGTAGACTCCGTTTTTGGATGCTATTTTTTCTGATGGGCTTGATCCACCAAGCCATGCTGGTTGGAACATGTGCAGGACAAGGTTTCCCTGAACATGCCACGTCAAAACCCAAAGGAGCCTGGGGCATACTAGTCTGATGAAGAGTTGGACCCTATTCAACAAGCTACGGGCAGGTGGACCAGCTGCTTGGGCCTGCAGCCACAGTCAGTTCCGCCCAAAACGTTAGGTTCTACTTCCGCCGTACCTTCGAATGTGTACCAATCGGCCCGTTAGGCCCAAACTTCGGGCCCGTTCCATCCAGGGGGCAAGTAATCCAGGAAGCGCTTGGCGTATCTCATGCGTGCCTTGGGCATGGTCTCCGGCCACTGAGGCCGCTGGCCCATGAGCCGTGCAGCTTTGATGCGGGAAAGGTCGAGACCACCGAATGCGGACGCGTCGGACGCCTGGAGGCAACTCATCCTCGGAGAGATGCGAGGAAGAGGAACACCGGACTGTACATTGGGGTGGCTTAAGGGGTCAAATGGAATCAATGTCGGAACAAAAGGTTATGCATGGAGTGCCTGGGATGACCCAGGAAAAACAGGAAGAGGGAATTCACCACATCCAACTAGGGGATATTAGGGGATGCAAGTCCCACATAACACCAGCCTGCAGCAGTGCTCATCCTGGCTTCATGTTGGAATGCAACTACAACCATGCAACCATCAATGGAAAAGTGAACCGACTTGTAACATACACAAACAAAGACTGGACGTACGACGTATGTCAACAAGTATACGTGTTCAATCGTTTTCACATGGCACTTTGTACCCCTTCAGATTTGCAGGTCTGCCTCCTTTGGGTCTTTCGCCCCGGCACAAGCTACACAGGTTCCGCAGCACCGAACCGGCTGCGTCAAACGCTGGGAGTGCGGTGCCCGGAGGTAGCAAGAGACGGACGTCAAAACAACTCTAAATATGTCCTCGTCACACCGGTGCGGGAGAGTAATTATATACATATTATATATTACTTATTAATATTGCTTGGACTGTATTCTTATGCTCTGACAGGATTGATTTGGTGCATTTTGGAGCCTCTATCCGTGGCGTTTGCCTCTGCTGCTGGGCCATCGCCCGCCCTTCGGCCGGGCGTCAGGCTTTCCCATGGCCTCTCCTGAGGAGCGCTCGGCGCTTGGCCAGGAGAATAACAAGGGGAGGCCATTAGGCAAAAGATTTTGGCCTACAGTCTTTGGGGCATCTGAATGTCCTAACGCTATTGTCGAACTGTCCAGGATGCTCCCTTCCTGGACCACCCAGTGGTACACAAAAAAGTGTTCAAGGTAATTTTTGTTACACTTTTTTGTAACTCGAGCGCATTTTGGTCCAAGACTTCAACTCGAGCACATTTTTTTTGGTCAACTAGGTTTTTCAAGAATGAACTGAATTGTCACTTGTGCGCCTATTTGGCTCAAAAAGGGCAAATATGGGTAGAAATGGTGCTGGCAAAAATGAAAGGGCATCTTTGCATGCATGTTTTTGTCTTTGCATGCTTGCCTATGCTTGTTGCGCTGCATGCTGTTCATGTGTGTTTGCTTGGGTGAACCTCTAGGTCCAATCATTTGGAAAGCTGGCATCACTCCATGTGCGTTTGCTGCTGTAATGGGCAAGGCAGGTTGCACAGCCCCTTTGGTGTTGCAATGTATCAGTGGCTATGAACCGATTGTGGTTGGGGATGCAGGTGCTATGTTTACTGCTGTAGCATTTGGCTGATAACCTGTGGGGCCAATGTCGTGGTCAGAACAGGCTTCGGTGCTAGCTACCTCATGGGCCAACAATGAGGACTTGAAGTGCTTGGGTGCAAAACACTCGCTGTGCGTGATTGAGGGCAAGAAGATCACCAGAAGCCCCTTGAAAGCATGGGTTTTTTGTGCCAAGGTGCTGTGCTCTAAGATGTTGCTTTCAACAGCTGAGGCGATGTCCGAGCCAACTATGTCTTGACAGGGTTGGCTGTGAAACACTTAGGGCTGAGGCCTTCTCTTGGCCAGTTTCAACAGGCTGTTCATCAATTTTGGTCATTGACGTTGCCAAAGCAGGTAGAAGCATGCAGTGCCTTGAAGCATCTAAGCAATTGTTTTGGTGAATCCGCGGTCTTGTGGTTGGCGCGTTGAATAGGCATGTGTTGCACCTCATGCTTGATTGAACCAGGTGTGAAGTTGAAGCTGCATGCACGCTATGCAAGGGCTCTTGTGTACAAGTTCTCGCGTATGGCCAAGAACCATGGTGTGCATATCCAGAATTTAATTTGCTGTCCTTGTCTTGTTGCCTCCTGATTGCTTTCTGATATTTTGTTAGTGCACCTGGCTTGCGGGTTTCCAGCTGGTATTGGTCAAGTTAAGGAGGCCCCATTGTCCGAAGTGCCCAAAGATTCGCAAGCTGTATTTGCTTGCTGGCATGGGGCTGCCAGGGAAGGCTGAATCAGGAAGATGGACTAACTACAATGCTTGTGATTGTGTTGCATCGCATTCATCACATCATTCTGAACCACTCCATTGCAGGAGGTTCAAGTGATAACTCGTCGTCATCAAGTGACAGCTCTTCAGCCAGTGCCCTAACTGACCTCCAGAACAAAATGCTGCCTGCCTATGTTTCATTCAGCTGTCAGGATGGTGAATGTTCAGATGGTGAAGATAATGAAGGTGATTTAGTGGATGCAGCCCCGGAGCCTAAAGAACCTGGAAACCATGTGGAGACAGCAGGCTGTTGAGTGTGTTTTTCAATGCGCGAAGCTTTGTTTGTTTCTATTTTGGTTGGGTGCCATCACTTGTGGGTGTGTGTATAAAGGTCATGCTTCTGATTTGACCACGCCGCCGCCTCTGCAAGCAGGCACGTGATGTATTGGGGTTGGATGCGTAGAAAGTATACGCGATGTTGTTTGCAGGCATTCTGTTTTGTCAGGTGCACTGCCTTTGGAGCTTCCTAGCACAGAGAAAGTTGCAAAGTGTCTGGACTTTGGTTGCTTGCTTGAAAGTTGTGTGAAAGTTTGGCCTGCAGTTTGGTTAATTGAAGGACTAGGAGTATGAAAATGCTGCAATGCACAGTTCCTAGCAATCATCATGCTTGCTGCTTCAGTGTTCAAGGCTTGGGCGATGATGAACAGGCTAAGATGCAGCGGCTCAGGGAACTGACTGAGCTTGAAGAGCTCCTTGCGCTGAAAGCTGCTGAAGGTTGCAAAGGTGGATGTGACTTCTCTGGTGCTGCTGGTGCAAAATTTCCAGCCACTTGGACACGGTCAAACACTCCCACGCTTTTGCAGCTAATACCGGATGCTCATTGTGCTGGCGCTGACCCTGCTGCTTGTGTGCTACCAACACCCCCTGCCCATTTGGAAGCCAAGCACCCAGCATGTGAGACACCAACTGGTGCACCTTTTGATGTCAAGCCCCCAGCACTTGAGACATCAACAGGTGGTGCACCTTTTGATGTCAAGCCCCCAGCACTTGAGACACCAACAGCTGGTGCACCTTGTGATGTCAAGCCCCCAGCATGTGAGACACCAACAGCTGGTGCATTTTGTGATGTTAAGCCCCCAGTATGTGAGACCACAGAACGTGATGCACATTCTTCAGTGCCTCAGCTTCCTGCCTCTGTGAAGCCACAGCCGCCTTTGCTACCACCAGTGAGTCTGGAACTCAGCCATTTTTCATTTCAGTTGCACAAGCTGCAACTTTGTTCTGATGTGAGTTTTGTGTCATGAGACCCGGACCTGGTGGAGACGCTGCCTCTGGAGCCAGAGCCTGTTGACATGGGGCTGGGCAACGAACATGCCTTGGCTGAAGATACTTGAATGCATCCAGACATGTTTGGGGCCAAATGTTTGTGGGGAGCACATTTGGTGTCATGTAATGAACTCAGGACACTAGGGTCAAACACCTATTGGCTGCAGCTTGTATTCCGCCACCAGAGGGCAAGCCTCGAGGAAGGAAAAAGAAAGGGGCAACAGGAAAGGGGAAGGGAGCAAAAGCAAAGGTAAAAAGAAAGCGGTCTAGGGCAATCCTTCAAAAGGCTAGAAGCAAGGCTGCTAGAGCAGCAAAGGAGCATGAGACTGAAGAAGGGGATGAGGAGCGTAAGGAAAGGACCAAGAAGAGACAGAGGAAGCAGAGTGGCAAGGCAAAGGCTTCCAAGAGTCAGAAGACCAAGAAGAATGGCAAAGGAAAAAGCCAAAAAGACAAGAAACCACAACAACGAGCCAAGGTCTCAGAGGAATCCAAAAAGAAGAATGCTAGAAAGAGCAAGGCTTATGGGGCTGCAATGCGAGAGGCGCTGAGACTTGGCCTCTCTCAGGAGGAGGCTAAAGCTCGGGCCCGTGAAGCCCCTTTGTTGCATATATATTGCATGTGTGCATGTGAGTCTCCACTTGCTTCTCATCTTGGTACCTCACTGTCTTCTCAAGGCATACCGGGGCACTGACTAGAAGACGTTTTGTGCATTCATCTGTTGAATGCTTTGGGATAGAAAAATGTGTGTTTTCACATATTTTCCTTTGTTTGCCTTGGATGCAAGTGTAAACATTTGTATTCTGGCATCAGCAAATTAGCTTAAAAGCTAGCGCAAGTGTAGCTTGATCAGCGAAGGGACAACCTTTTCAACAGCAAGTGGGGAAAAGTGCGTGCGCAGTCGTCAAGTGGTGAGAAGGAGTGTGCAAAGTCTTCATGCACTCATGGCAGGGTTGTGCATTCATAGCTTGGCTGTTGCATTCATGGGATGTGCTCCTTGCATTCATAGCATAAGATCGTTGCATTCATGGCTTGGTTGCTGCATTCATGGCATGCTTGTTGCACTCTTTGCATGGAAGTTGCACGCATGACTTGGCCTCAACTGCTTTCGCATTCATGGCTCAAGCCTGAGTGGCACCATGGCTTTGTAGCATTCACCTTATGATGGCTCAACCTGGCAGGTTTATGGACGCTTCATCTTAGCTGGATGGTCTTCATGCTGAAGTGACGATCCTAGTGCCCCTGTTTTTTCTCTCTTGCAGGTCTGTTACCTTTTCTGGCTGCCCAGACTGCTTGCGTCTGAATTCTTGCATGCTTTGCAGTGTAGTGGCTCAAACATGGCCACACCACCTCAACAGATGGAGGAGGCGCAATCAAGTATGCAATGCACAAAGGGTGCTGTTGAACAAGTGTGTGGGGAATTGTTTGTGCAGGCGCATGGTCAAAAGCGACACCGTGAAGAGGACTATGTGTGGTCCTTAAGCAGTAGCTGTGCGCGCTATCATTTCTGCCTTTCTTATGTGGTGAAGGATGAAGAGTCCATCTTTCCATACTGGCAGCAAGTTCTGATGGCGGCCCAAGCCTCTTTAGCCTTGTATTTGCTGAACTTTGTTGTGCCACATGCTGACTGGATTGTCTTGGAGGTGTCAAATGATGTGATCCAGAGAATTGGTAAGGAGTGGATGTGTCACTGCTTGTGGGCTATACTGTGCATGTCATAGTTTTTTTGATTCGATCTGAAGGACAAAGAAGTTCTACAGGCAGTCTTGATTTTAGCAGTTCATGCTAAGGACTGGGGTCCTTTAAGAACTGTTGGTTTCAAATGAATGGTACTATTTGAGGATGTGCTCAAGAACGAGTATGATGAAATAAGCGCAAGTGCTTCCCAGATTCGCTCGAGGCTATATCAATCTTCTTGTTGCATCCATGAACCTGTTCTTTGTTTGCATTATGGTTGTCATTGTTCTTTGCACGCATAGGTTGGCTGCATGCATGATGCATGTGCTTTGGACTCATGCATGCAAGCATGCTTTGCATTTTAATGTGCTTGCAGTTGCATTCATTTGCAGATTCAATTCATATACAGTGCTTTGAACATTTTTGTTTTGCCAGGTTGGCAGCTAATTCGCCTACGAGGCAAGAGCAATCTGCACCCTTAGGCCGTGACCCCAAAGTAAAACCTGAATCTGCACCACTGCGAGAGAAGGATCAGCCAAACCTACTGAAAGACTACCCCTCAAAGAAGGCAAGCCCATCCAACCACTGTCCACAAGCCCAAGGAGCATCGCAAACACCAATGGCACCTGGAGCAAAGGACACACCCTTGCCTGATATGCGAAGCCACCCCAAGCCTTGTCAAGTGCCAGTGCCCCCACCAGTGCCCCCACCAGTACCACCAGCA